TACGAACTTTTCAGACCATCTCCTAATATATCTTGACAGTATCTGTCGGATAATCTGGCAATTCCAAGATCATCTTTTGAATTCTGAAGGGAATAAGAGTCAAATGTTTGTAAAAAGTAACATGAAATCGTGATAGAATAATTGTTGCATTATTATTATGGCAACAGATATTCAGTCTGGCACTCAATGCGTTTCTTAGAACAGTACAAAATATTCGTTCAAGTACAAAAGTAAAAATTTGGTTTTCGCCCGAGTTAACTTGTATGGCGTTCTTAAAGCATACAAATTTAAGATTCGACTAAGCTTGGGATAATTCGTTAAGGGTGAAACAATGATTAAGAATAGATAAAAGAAAGATTTTTGTGATTTTTCTTGAATAGAATACATTTTGGAAACGAATAATACTAAATTCCTTTCATGTTTTTATTTTAGGGCTTGCTACTTAACACCGTATTTGGTTGGGGAGGGACTGAGTGGGCTGGTTCCTAGTCTCGTGGCCATCGCTCAAGGCATAGAGAGTCCTGAATGCACGAATGAGACTCGAACCATTTTTTCGGAGGAGACGGGCACCAACATCTCAACTCACATCCTCGTTCCCAGGATCAAGGAACCGCTGTTCTCGCCAGAATGGTTTTTGCCATCCTGCTCGCCATGGTGCTTTTCAGCTGGTTGGCGTTCGTCCTGTTGGACAAGCTTCCTTTTGTCAGAAGGAAAAAGTAAGTTTCTGTTACAGAATTTGTTACAGTATAGTATATCTATATTGAATATAGCAGATTTAATAGTTGGAATTTTTCCAGAGTAATTCTTTGTTTTGCCAGCAATTTAAGGCAGCTAATTTCGAAGTCTTGTAGTTTGGGATTCGTTTAATTTTTCGTTGGCATTAGTAAAATGATATTCATTTTTATTATAAATATTTCATTTTGAATAAATATTATAGATTCATTACAGAATATTTAGATTTTCCTGTCTTTAAATAGAGGAGTAAACAATGAAAGCATAGCATTGAATTTCGCAAATAATAATAAGGGGATTCTTGTCCAGAAAAGTACCGCGAAAGAAGTACCCAATCGATACAAGTCACTAGAAATATCATTGAAAACGTCTCTCAGCATTATTCTGTGATGCATCGCTCATGAAATATCGAGTCTTTCTGCCTTTTTTGAAAATGCCGTTTTCTCGATACAACCGCATCAACTCGAAAAATAACAAGTTCAGAGGAACGAATGAAAAGGTCAAAGTTTTCTTTGAACATCTCAACCTACTTAGCAGCCAACATTTTTTTTTTTTTTTTCAATTTTTACACGTTATTTTTCACGCTTTCTGTGCCTGGCATTGAAAATGAGTTTTCAGAAAGAAGTTTTAATTCTCCAATCGATTCCTTTTGAAGGGTAATTAAGAAAATAAATTCAAGTAGCCGCGCTGAATAGCAAAACAAAGATTTGTTTTTAAAACTTGTGTCATTTTTTTCTCTGCTGTCTTTTGTTTCCGGCTAAATTCAATTGTGTATGATAACTGCTTTTTAAAATAATAATTCTTTTCACGAACAAGGCGTTTGTAATGAGATTTAAAAATATATATATTTTGTGATGAAAATTTCGCTGGATAAAAATCACAAAATGTTCTCATTCCCCAAGTACTGTAAGTTAATATGCATTTACTTTATTCTGCGTGGGATATTGAACGGTACAGCTGACTTCCTGTTTTTTCTTGATGGTTTGTCCATGAGTAATGCCAGATTGCGCCTCAATGTTAGAATTAACGTCTTGTGAGGTGATGTCAGCAACGACCTTAGCTTCCTAGAAGAAGGAAAGGTCCACATTTGTATGTTGCATTTGAGGAAAAACCAGGAAACTCCTACTGGTTTGAGTGTGTATGTGAGACATTTTGCTGTTTATGTTGTATCTCAAAAGCGCATTTATAACGAAGAACCCGAGGGTTTCAATTAAGTTGAAAAGCAGGTTCATTTTTATTTCAATTTTAATTTGCTATTCAAACATTTCATTAGCGCAACAGGAGCGAAGGTTGCTGGGCGAAGGATGTCTGCCTACTGGCAGATTTCGAAACAGGAGATGCTATTCAAGCATTCGTGCCTTCAAAATCTTTTTCTTTTGACTTCACGTTCACTAGAATAAAAGTTATCCTAATTTGAATAGCACTGCTCAAAGAACAGCTAAGTAAAACTTTAATTGCCTTTTTTAAAAAAAAAAATGGATTTTTCGAACGACGTGACATTTCAAGAAATAATCAATATATTTATATGAGACACTCATTTTATTTAAATGTTATTGACCATGAAATGATTTAAACCTTCGATCTGATTGTGTCCTCCTGCAGCTATTTTCATGTCACGAGATCTGTAGGAAATATTCCTATCAGCATGAATATTTTTATCCAATTTTTTTTACAATTTATCCTACAATTTCGGTCTTTTTCGTACATCATTTGCAAATATAAAAAAAAAAACTTTCTTTTGCCGTTGCCAATACTTTGCGTTTACCATTGTCTCATCCCTAAAACTTTATAATACAAATAGTAATTGTTTCGATATTTCCTAGTCTTTACTACCGAGTGACTTGAAAACATCAAATAATAATAATAGTAGTAATAAATAAATAAATAAAAAATAAAGTTACGTAAAAAATGGGTAAGAACTCATTGAGAATAATGTTTAAGAAATTATTAAACATGTAAAATATAAAATGATTTTTGTGCTGTTTAATATATTACTTGAGCAAAACTCAAGCCAAGTGGTTATTTTGAATTGATTTATATAGGATTATTATGATCTTATGATGTCAATTTGATAAATAAAAGTACTCACGAATTATAACAGAAACAAATTATTCTGAGAAAGACAGCAAATCACACAAAAGACGCTGTTATCGCACGATAAATTTCTTTATTGTACTTATAATAATATAGACAGCTAATAGATATTTTAAAATTGTCGACACAACTAGTTCGAAACAATTACTATCCAACTATCAAAATAACATCCGAAATATTTCTCAACTGTCAAAAGTTCTGCGGATCCTTTTTGACACTTGACATGTTTCTGATAGACTTCAGTGACAATACCGCAAAAAATAATTGAGCAGTAAATGTACATTCTTCTACATGTCTACTGTAGAAGGTTTTGTTGGTTTAAAAATAAATAAGCTGGTGTACAGTATGTGTGCAAGACCACAGTCTAACAAACTTCATGATGAAATGGTCTAACATCTATGGAAACAAAAGTCTTACCTCTATTGTAACATTTTCTTGCTCATTTTATTTAGATATAAAACTTAAACAACTCCAGAAGATGAAGCCCGAAATGAACATTTATATCTTCTGTGATATTTAGTAATTATGTTGTAGATTCCGTACAATTTACTTAAAATCAAATGATACCGATACTAATTTTATTTCATTAAAAGACTTATTTCTTCACTTAGTCATAGATAGTGATAAATATTCATGGTGGGTTGACTGGTGACAGAACTATCTCTGAAGCTTTCCAAACCTTCTCGCTGCACTGAAACACTTCGAGCACTCCAATCGGGAAGCTGGCCATCCTCCGACAGGATTGTGTAAACAAATTTTCAAGTCCGGATCACAACATTTTCATGTTTCTAATTTCAATTTTATCACTTTCTCAAATTCATTCTACTAGAGATAGGGTCCTTGTGGGCCAATGCTCCAAAAAAACCAAACTAGATAGTAATTAGTTTGTAATATTGAATATATAATATTGCAATATATATATACATATATATATATATATATTTAATATATTATTTGTGTAAAACTGAAGCCAGGTGGTTATTTTGAATTGATTTATATAGGATTATTATTATCTTATGATGTCAATTTGATAAATAAAAGTACTTACGAATTATAACATATTGCAAATATAATGTAATGATTGCAAATTATAATGATGAGTAGTAGTTTACTAGATTACGCTTATTACATTACGATTTGCTAATTCATGTATTAATTCATTAGAAACAAGAATGGTATCTAATAAACTAAATGTTTGATAGCTGTGGCACAGTTCGTGAACTATAAGAATATAAAAGACTCGAAGGTTTAGAACGAAAATGTATTTTTAAGCAAAGAAAATATTAGAAATCGTAAAGTATATAACTAAACAATATGTTCCAACATCAACATAACAATAATAATAAAAATATATGAAAAAAGGGCAAATTGTTCAAAAATGCTCATGCAACTGGTATGCCTATAGTACGCAATATCAAATTTTTCCATGATTACTCTATCTTACACGGATTTTGAATAAGGGCGAATGATTTAATTTTTTTGCCGGTATAATATGACTGTAGAGCGTTGAGCGCAGGGCTGATAACCCTATCCGATAAAAAACATCTCCCGTCTCGAAATCTGCCAGTAGGTAGACGCTCTTGGCACAAAATCTGTACTGTAAATCTGTAGACCCAAAGTCCTTTCTCTGAGTTCGAGGAATCCTTCCTTGGGGCATGTTCGTCCGACATGGAGGCAGGGCCGCTCCTTTCAATCTTGCAGTGTGATTTGAAGCCATGGAAACTCACTGATGATTCAGATGATGACATCTTCATCATCGAAGTGAATAAAAAATGTTAGTTTTTAAATACACTTTAGCTTTGCTTTTACTGTGGAATTTATAAAATGTAATGTCTTTATTTATAAGTTTAAATACATAGGACGTGTCAAATAATTTACACAAATGGTGTAATTATTAAAAAAAAAAAAGATTTTGGTCGTAAATTTTTTTTTTTTGGGGGGAGGGGATTTTATGTCTTAATGGATGTAAAGGTTTTATGTCTTAATGGATCTTTAGGATGTCTTAACACCAGTTTTAGGAGAAGTACACTGCACTTAGAGGACTCTAATCAGATAACAATGCAGGTTCAGAAATGCTTTTCCGAACTCGGTGGAGACAAGCAGAGATGGAATGATAAGGTTTTTCATTACCTCACATGGACAACTAACCAACGGCCGTTATACCGGCCGTTATACCGAATATACCGGTTTTCGTTAGATCACCGAAGTCAAGCATCATTGGGCGCGGTCAGTACTTGGGTGGGTGACCACCTGGCATTCACACATTTGTGACCTGAATGACCGAGTGTCTAGCGCTCTGGCCATAGGTCCCGGTCTCCTATGACTGTAAGAGCGTCACGGAGCAGAAGTCAGACTTCTACCTACGGGTGCTCCATCAGAACAGAAGCTGCACCCCTCCTCCCTCCTTCCATGAGGGACACGACAACATCAACAACAACATGGGCAACAGTAGCAAAGGCGAACTAGGAATGCATGTCGCTTACTCGAGGAATCTTCCCACAGGCTGCAGTGGCGCATCCCTGCAGGACTCCTCGAACTTGGATTGTCCTCTGTCAGTCCGCACCATCTGCTCATGACTGATGACATCGTCCAGGAAAGAAGTGATCTTCGAGCTCATTCACACCAACGCGGCGAAGAGTCAAGCCACTGAGATGGAACAGCTTTTAAACTCGTTCACACCGTGGTGGTGGAAATCGCTTTGCGATGTAGTTTAGGTTTACAAAATTTTTCATTTATTTATTTGGACATAGCATAATGAGCGCAAGACATAATTAAAGCATGCGTAGCGCAATTTTACGGATAATTTTATATAGAATTTTTATTTAATATGAATGCGCAAAGTTCAGGCAATATTTTAAAGCCTACAACATTCATTAACGCCATTCATAATTTATACAAATTATTAATGAATTTTTTTTCTAATGCAGCTGGCAAATAGACCGTGATCTTTTTATGCCGTGAGGGGCTGCACCGACGTTACTCACTTTGCACTACCCAGGGGGCGCGTGTAACTTGAAGATAAGCCACGGACGCGGAGTAATAATGCCCCGCAACGCTCCAATTAGGACCGGGACCTACGGTTTAAAATGGATTCCGAACCACTTCCCAACACTCATGGCACCACCGGGATTTGAACCCGATACCTGTGGTACCGAGCGCCAGAGCGCGCTAGCCACTCGGCCATCAGGCACTTAATTATTAATGAATGTCATTAATAATTTATACAGAAGCAAAAAGGTCATCCTTCTTGCCCATGGCGAACTTCGAGAGAACTTTTCGGGCGTTGGCGCTTGGGAGGGGCCAACTTCCCCCTGCGTTGAGCCTTCATGTGCAGAAGGTTTTACATATCCACGTATGAATGCGCCCTTGTCTTGGAGCCAAAGCACCTTATACAATAAATTTAGTGTCAACTTGAATTGTGAAATATTGCTTCCTAGTTATAGTTTCTTTTTATTAAATAGGTTTAAACTTTAAAGATCATTTAATAAAAATAATGAAAATGTTTCGTTGGAAAAATTTTATTTGTAAAATGAGATACTTTAACATTCTATGTGGTAGAAAGTAATATATTTGTAATATTAAGTTTTTCTTCTCTCGTTACTTGTACTAGTTGAAGAAAATGACTTTATAAATTTTCCTTTCTTGGCACTTGGAATGATGCGTAATATGTACAATATATGAAAGAAATCGAGGCATTCAAAAACAAGCGTGATTTTTTTTTTATAAAAGAAAATTAGAAGACAATTATTATTTTATGTTTTGTTTTGACTGACAATTTGTAACTTTACTTACATTTACTGCGTTTTTTTTTTTTCTATTGCTGCAATAGGCGTTTTTGGAGAATACTGTAGAGCTATAAATTGATCATTTAAAAAAAAACAGTAGTAAATTAATTGCAGAATTTATTACATCGTTAACTGTAATAAAATGTCTGTGAGGTTATTCATGCACGAGTGTGTTTCCGGAAGAATAAAACGTTTTTGTAAAAAGTGAGAGATTTAACACGTGGGCTGAAACGTTCATAGGCTGACACATAGATAGCGCTACTAGTATTAAATCCATATGATTTTTAGTTAGCCGTAACCTTCAAAAGACACGTGTATAAATTTGAGAGCTGTTGCACTATTAGTATGTGAGTTATAGCATCTTTAGTGAAGCAACTTTTGTTAATTTGAAAAAATGGATAAAAGGAATTTCGTGTGATAATTAAAGCATTGCTTTTTGGCGAAAAAAATACTCTTGAAGCCAAGGCTTGGTTTGATAAACATTATTCGGACTTTTCACCAGGAAAATAAACCGTAGAGAAGTGTTTTGCTAAATTTAAACGAGGCAAAATGAGCACCGTGGACGATGCACGCAGTGGACGCCCCAAAGAGGCTGTTACCGACGAAAACAAGTCCACAAAATAATTTCTGATAATCGTAAATGAAGTTGTTTGAGACCCTAAAGATATCAAAGGAACGTGTTGGACATATCGTGAATGAATATTTGAATATGCGAAAGCTCTGTTCAAAATGGGTGCCTCGCAAGAGCTCACAATCGACGCAAAACAACAACGAATTGATGATTCTAAGCTGTGTTTGGAGCTGTTCAATCGTAATAAACCCGAATTTTTGCGTCGATATGTGACAATGGATGAAACATGGCTCCATCATTTCACACCGGAGTTCAATCGACAGTCAGCCGAGTGGACTGCACGTGATGAACACTAAAAATGCTATAACTCACATACTAATAGTGCAACAGCTGTCAAATTTATACATGTGTCTTTTGATTGTTAGGGCTAACTAAAATTCTTATGAATTTAAGACTAGTAGCGCCCTCTATGTGTGAGCCTATGAACCTTTCAGCCCACCGGTTATATGGATCGGAAAATTGAAAATATTAAACCTTTTCTTTCTTTAAACTGAAAACAAAATGCATATTTTCAGTTCAGAGATTGAATCATCTGATTTTTAGAGTAGTAAAAAAAGAAAAACACGCAAACAAGCTGGGATAGATTTTTACATTTTACCAACTTTCTATTTCAGTCTACAATGAGAATCTTGCAAATCTGTTTGCAGAAAAATCGTTGAACTTTCTCTTAACTTGCCAACTTTAATATAGTTTCATCATCTTTGGGGCAATTTTAGTTGGAACCGTTTTAGAACGTAGAATTGTTTTTTGCGGTGTTTGAAAAAAAGCAATTTTCCCGCTCTGTTATGCTGAATGAAGAAAATGGTCCCGAAGAATTTAATAGCTACTAAAAACTTATGAAACTATTATTTCTTACAAGATTTAAATTTAAAAAAAAAAGTCATTTCGTTGCCTCTTTTCAGTTTTTTTTTTGTCTATTCCATCTATCATTCTTTGCCGATTGATCGTTCAATATATTTTCTTCTAAAGCCTTATGTCTTGAAAGAGACATTTTTTTTTTATTTTATTGGTGTCGTTAAACATAGTTGAATTACCTATTTGAAGAGGAGTCGTAATGATAAAAGTTGAAATTTTAAAATTTAAAAAAAAAAATGAACTTATTTGGAATGGATATAAATAATGAACTAAAATAATTAAAAAAAACTATAAAACGAACCACATCCAACGAAAGCTCAAGACAGTAATCGTTGTTTTTATTCAATTCTTGAAATGATCCTTATCCTAATTAAATAGGTAGGTGCATCCTAATTATAATACAACAGAATTAAGAAGATAGTTTTTAAAATATTTAATTTACTGTTTATAGGGTTACAATAAAACAAACTAGCATTTAAAATTGAGATGACACGGAAGCGCTATGTACGCTACGGAGAATCATTCTGTTCAACTTTCACTGCATTGACAAAAGGGGACATGCGCCAAGGACCTCTTCTGTCCATCTGAATTAATCATATATAATCATATAACATATATATAATCATATAACATAGTGAGATCTTGTGCCGTGCCACGGTTTGTTAGAATTCAAGGTAGCATTACACGACTTTAAAAAGAAAAAAGATAGACGAACATACGGTTTGTAACACGCGAAGCACTTCAAGTTTTTTGTCTTATGCGTAATTGTTTAGTTTTCCATTATATCTGTATTTTTTAAATATACGTGGGCTTTTTTTTTTTTTAAATGTGGACGAACAACGCACGATGAGAGTTGGTATTTTCATTCTGGAAGACATTTAATATAGTATGGTATTTGAGAAAACCCAGAAAACTCCCATCGAGCAGCACGACTATTTTGCCGTGATTGTCATCGAGTCTCCATGTTTCTAACAGCAATGGCTGTAACGAGCGTCAACAGAATGAAATTTGAAACACCCTCTTGACACTGCCATGTTAATTAGACAGCGGGAGTACAGCCATCCTATATGCCATACCTTTAAAATCCATGTATACAAATCTTACCGTATACAAGGCAAAAAAAAAAAAAAAAAAAAAATTGAACAAAAATTATATTCTACACACCTTACAAAGTACGTCTTTCTTATGTACTAGAAAGAAAAAGTTTTATTTTAAAACATGCCACCATTTCTCAATTTTTCTTAAGAGAAATTTAAACAGTTATCCACAGCTTAGCATTGTGCTTGAATAGTAGTAGGCTTTGTGTCTTCTTATAAAATCAGCGACGGACTGATTTCGTAATAATCATGCTTCAATATTCAAATAACGAATGTTCAAAACTTCGATCAATGTGTCTTTTAGTCCTTAAATTTCTAAAATGCATTCATAAAGAATTTTACCAAGTTAAAATTCAATTTAAATCCTTAGATAATTTTATGGTAATGGTGATGCCTGATAGCCAAGTGGCTAGCGCTCTGGCCTTTACTATCACAGACTTCCAGTTTGAATCCTGGCGGTGGCATGGATGTTTGTGAGTGGTTCGGAATACATTTTAAACTGTGGGTCCTGGTCTGTTTTGCCCCCGTGTGCACGAGATGACCGTAGAGCGACAAACCAAACCATTATATTTTTAATTGTCCTTTCAGTTCTTATATTGAAACTTAAAAAAAAATTGCTGATAAAAATTATTGAATCCTTATTTCATAGATTAAAGAATTCCATTAAAGATAATAATAAGATGTAATTTTTACGTTTTCAGAGTGAAAAAATTAATTTGTATACATTATAGTTTAGTCAGTTCATGCTTGACTCACCTTAAAGATTTAATGTCATGGTATTCCTTTTTTCATTAAATCAAATAGCTAAGGAAAGAAGAAGACGAAAAAAAACTGTAGAGATATTATTTACACTGCTATTGCTAATATTTGAATAGTTAAGAATATTTA